TATATATATATATGAAGAGTTTATTTGCCAAAACAGATAACTCCGTTTATTAAAATTTTCAAAAATCATTTTTTTATTATGTTATCATGTTTTTATTGACTTTTATTGTGTTAGTTAGCTGTATTTTTTTTTCTTTTTTAACTTAATCAAAATAACCCAACTGCAGTTTGATCGAGATTAATTGGAATGCACAATGAAAAAACATAATTTTTGAAAATTGTTAAAAATGGAGTTATCTGTTTTTGCAAATAAACTCTTCACATATATATGCATTGTTGAGAAAAAAAACACATTTTACACATTTCACAATTTATTATTACATATATAGATAATGTAAAATACTGGTAAAGCAAACCTTTAAAGAAACACTAGAAACATGCATTTTAGTACCCACTTTAGTTTCGTTTTTAAAATAGAGCATGAATGAAATATATAAGCATAAAACAAACAAATTATAGTTACATTCATCATAAACAACATTTCTTATAAACCCCAGGCCTAAACAAATATATTTTAAGTGAAGCTGAAATTATCGTGGTGTGAGAAAACCACTTTTCCAAATGGAAAAAAATGATGAGGAGGATGGAAATGAGCAGCACACTCATGTAATACTAGTAATAATATGATGCTTAGTCAGGTGTGTGACGTCTTTACTCTGACAGGATGAAAGCATCCATTACTGCTCCTCATGCTGATGACTTCCTGTGTGAATGCCTCTGGAATCCCACTCTTAGAGCTGTGACATTTTCTCAGGCCCTGTTTTACATAACAACAGCCAGTTTTCCACAGAATTACTGTTTATTTGTGTTTCTGTTATTACAAATGTCAGCTAGCCCATTATCAGACACAGGAGCGGCAGCGGGATTCTTGGCAATGACCTGCTGCACGATCAGCCGTTCGTTTACAGATCTCAGCTGCACTTCACTTCTCAAAGCACTTGATACATGAGCAAAACAGTTTGATTTTTTTGGTGCTTGTCTGTGTCTGCATGTCGCTATGTGGTTGCCATGTCCAGCAATAATATGCTTTATCTCTTTCTTTTATCTTTCAGGTTTTTGCTTAGATGCAGATGATGCTATGGATTGAATTTTGTTTCTTCTTTTTCGAGGACTTCCTTCTCTCGCTTGATAATTGAAAGCATCAGCTCATGGTGTTATTGGTTCCTATTGATCAGTCAGGTGTTGTGAAGAGAAAGATCTGATTGTTATTTCTCTCTCTTTCAGACTGACAGTAATGCCAGTTACCTCAGAGCGGCCCGAGCTGGAAACCTTGAGAAGGCCCTCGATTATATAAAGTCTGGTGTGGACATCAAGATCTGCAACCAGGTCATACATCTTTGTTTTTGTAAAATGAATATTTCATTTGCACTGTATACTACTATTCTAAAGGCTGGGGTCAATAAGATGTTTTTTTTAAATAAATTAATATTTGTTTATTCAGCAAGGGTGCATTAAAACCAGAGGCGGACAGTAGTGAAGTATTTTTACTTTGCTGTAAAAGTACTTTTCAAGTGTCTGTACTTTATCAGTGTTTTTCTTTAGGAAATTTTACTTCACAACATTCCAAAGCATAATATTGTACTTTTTACTGCACTACGTTTCATATTAAATATAATTTAATACTTAATTACATTAGAAATCTATTACTTTCTAACGTTTACGCAAGTAAAAGTAATTCAAAGATTTATTTGAGTACAAGAAAGTACTACATTTTTTATATTCTTAAGTATTAAAGGTAAAACAAACAACAACTTTTATTTATGAAATGTAGTGCAGTAAAAAGTATGATATTATGCTTTGGAATGTAGTGAAGTAAAAGTTTCCAAAGAAAAACACTCCAGTAAAAATACTTCACTACTGTCCGCCTCTGATTAAAACTGATCAAAATAACCAGTAAAGGTATTTATTATAATCTTACAAAAGATTTCAATTTCAAATAAATGCTCTTCTTTTTAACTTTTTGTTCATCACATCTGTTAAGCAGCGCACCTGTTTTCAACATTGATATTTATTGAGCTGCAAATTAACATTTAAGGCTATGTTCACACGTTGCGTCTTTTTTGAATCTGCCAGCGTCTGTTTTACATTATAATCCTATGGAGTAAACCGTGTTTTCAAAAAAGTCCTGAGCGCTTTTTAAAACGCCACCACCGGTGTCTTTTTCTGCAGCTCAGTGTCTTTTCAAGTTGAAAAAAGTTAAACTTTTAAAAAAAAAAATGCCCTACGTCAAGCACCTTTTTGACAGCTGACCAATGACAAGCGAGTGGCGAGTCGTTTCCATAACAACAAAAACAACAAGAAAAATGGAAAAGATAGCCCGTAGATAGATCGTACTAGTTACGGAGCACAAGGACTTGTATGATATGAGCACAAAACTCTGTCTAGTCTAAAATATGACGCAAACCGTGCATCATCCAACCAGAGCTGCTGGACTAAATTGTTTTAAGCACTATAGGCGCCGATCCCTGAGCACCCACGGAAATGGTCGAGCACCCACGGAAAAACACAGGATAATCTCTGTTCATTTTAACCAATAAGAAATGGATTGCAGCTTTTACAACTTTATTCTCGCATTTATAGGTCATTTGAGGCAGTTTTTGGCGTTATTTTAATGGAAAATGTCGAGAGTGCATTATTGTCATACAAGAGGGCGCCAGCACGATTCTCTTGGCTTGCAGCGGGCTTGCTCTCCCATATAGTGATCCAACCCAACCAGTGATCATGGCTCTGCGCTCCCTATTACGTGTGCGCCCTCAAACTTTGTCCTGTGTACATGACACGCGAATAAGTGCTTTTTGTAAACAGGTATTTATTAAATAATTTTATTTAGTGAAGCGCTACCCTCATAGAAAGAATGTGTGTATTATTTGGTTGGTAATTGCATGCATTTCACCTCGCAAGATACATTTTGTGTAGTGAATTCAGTATAGCCTAGGCTACTCTAGAAAATAACTAACACCCAGTATAATTAATTACTGAGTAATGAGAATGTTTAAATATGTTAAGCATTTGTTGCGTATGTGTATAATAACTTAGCCCGGTTATCATTTACTCATGGAAACAGTGAAAATGTGTAAAAAATAAATAAAATGCTCGTTTTTTGCACCCACCGGCAGAAACATAAATCGGCGCCTACTGTTTCCTTCCCCGTATAATGTCGCACACCCACAAAGTTGTTGTGAACTGACATTACCCTCCCCGTTAACTCCAAAAGCCAACGCAAGAGCCAACTTTTTACTCTTTCTCGCCATTTTTGCAGCACACAGTGCTAGGCTACTGTTGCAGCTGTTGTTAATTCAATCAATAAATTACATTTTTGAATATATTAAAATAGAAAACAATAATAATATTTACAAAGCCACTGTTGTTATTGTATTTTGGATCAAATAAATTCAGCCTTGTTGAGTATATGAGAGACTTCTTTCAAAAACATATCCACGGCCCTTGAGACTTTCTAATTCTGATTTAGACTGTTAAATAATATTTTCTGTCTCTTATATGCCTGTTTATAATCCCAAATAATGTAAATAAGCAGCTAATGAATGCATTTTCATGATTCATCTGTTTCTCTGGATGCAGAATGGGTTGAACGCTCTTCATCTAGCATCTAAAGAAGGCCATGTGGAGGTTGTGGCAGAGCTTATTAAACTTGGTGCAACTGTGGACGCCGCAACAAAGGTAAGACTCCCCTCATCAGATCAGATATTATAACACACCACTATAAATGCACTATTTGCACTAGTATAGATGACTGAGCATATGAATTAAAGATGATGTGTGTTACTCAGCTGTGCATGGCATTTTGCAGCATCAGCGAATCTTCAAAGTCACTGTTGCCTGATGTTCAGGTTGACTTTGAGCCTCTACCAAGAGCTGGATCTACTATTTCATGCTGAGGATCTTCAAGAGGAGGATTTCTGTAGAGGTTTTAGAAACTCTGAAGAAAAGTGGATTCTTCAAAGTGATATTTATGTACTAGAACAGTGTCAGAAATAGCGAGGAAGCATTTCAAAACACAGCTGGTCTATGAAAAAATATTGGGTCACTGTATACATTGAGTCAAACTGTTCTCTTGTGTTCTCCTGATTCCAGAAAGGCAACACTGCTCTGCACATAGCATCACTCGCTGGACAGGTGGATGTTGTCAAGGAACTCGTGAATAACGGAGCAAATATCAACACCCAGTCTCAGGTATAGTCAGCGTTTGAAAAAGCATGAGTGGCTTTTACTGTAAAACACTTCCATTCTTATGGTGCATTCAATTCATGTGAGTAAAATAGTATTTACGCACTTTATGCATTTACAATTTGAACACACATGAATGCCACCTCAAAGTCATAATTATGGCTGGGAAACTTTTCTTATTTGGGGTCATGTCAATGAGAAAATATGGTGAATGCAATAGATGTAGCATCTGTATTGACAGAAACTGTTGAAATTAATGAAATTATTTTTTTCCATCTAGAAGTAAAAAGTAGCATGTACAAAATACAGTAGCAATGTACAATTACCATAGAAAATACAGTATAATGGTTCAATTTACAGCACCTTCATAAATTAAATAAAAACATAAAAAAGCAAAACAAACTGATGCACTTTTTTATTCAACATGTGTAGAAGTACAATAAAAAAATCTATGAATAAAAAAATAAAAATTAAATAACAAAAAATTGAAGAAACGGTACATCGTCATCTTCGGCTGGCTATATGACTGCAAATGATGTTGTCAATACGAAGTTTCAATTTTCCAATTTTCCTATTTCTGTTATAAATACTTTCCAACTCGCAAATACGAATTTCCAATTTTTCAGTTTCCATCATAAACACTTTCCAACTCATAAATGTGAATATCCCAGGAGGACTTGAACACACTATTAATATAAAAATGCACTCTGCACAAGTCAAAAATGTATGCCATTGAACCTAGCATTTGTGAAGCTAGTTTGCCAAGCTAAAAGTTACTCATAAAGTAATTTACTGTAGGTACACTAAAAATAGTTAGCTACAAACTGTAGTTAGCTACAAATTGCAAATTCATCAGCAGATTTTGTTTGGGCCTGCTAATAACTGTACTAGCTAATCTTAGCTAACTTATGGTTAGCTACATAAATAACATAAAACATTTGAAAATAAAACTAACTACTCTGAAGCTTTAAAATGAGGCGACAACGCGACATCTTTTAAAATGGTAACTTTTTCAGATTATATAATTTATTACAATACTATGAGGAGTTTTGAATGATTGAACCAGGTCACAGTATTAAAACTCAACAATAAAAAGTTGAAAACAGTCGATTAAAAAAAAATGTCACACCACAGAAAAATGTAGACAGTGCTACTTTTTTGTTAGTTTTACTTTATAGCCTACCACTAATTAACCTGGATGTGGTATTGTACAGGTAGCTACTTATACAGTTGCACGATACACACAACTAACTTCTTCAGCAAGATTCTCTTCAAAAGATTCTGTTGCTCTGTCTTGACAGTGGTTGATCAGAAAGAGAAAACCAACCATAAAAATCAGTTTATGATAAAATCCATTGTTTTGGCCCCAGAGAATGTGAGTTGCTCCAGCGTTGCATTGCAAGTTCTGATACTTAAGTTCTCAGTTTGTCCTCAAACAGCTCTAAAAGAATTTTGAAGTGCTGCATTAAATATAACCTACTTATGTCTCCATTTTGAGGAGAACCTGTTGGGATTTGGGAGCTGGTATGGTCGATAGTTGTAGTAGTGCATGCGTTTTTGCCTTGTCACCAAAACAATCCTCAGGGAGTCCAAAATTAAACACACGTGTGCAGGAGACTAGAGACAGACAATGTTTTATCTCCAGAACTTATCACAAGTGCAGCCTGGTTCTGCTTTCTCACACTCCAGTGCTTAAAATAAAGACACTCGCTTGGTAAATGAGGAGGCTGGTTGCAAATTGTTATATGTTTGAAAAAAAGGTTGCTACAGGGGTTTGCTGGAACAGTATATTTTTACAAGGTTATTCTTTTTGCACCGTAATATAAAAAAATTATGTACACTATGTGTACCCCACATTTGCCAATGTTAGCTAGCTAGCTACTTTTATAGCTGACTCTTTTCATCTGTGGTACTGTATTTTAGTGCTAAAACCCAGACCCAGACTAAATTTATGTTTGCATAACAGAAAGCTCTACAGATTAACAGAGAGTTTTTTGTTACACTCCCAACCACTCATGAGAGTAGTACACATTTTTAACTTACATTTTCACAGAATTCTGTGAATTTTCCATTGTGAGAAATGTCAGCAGCAGAGCTGATCCTCCCTATACGCAAAATACGCAAGCTGTGTAGGGCCCCCGAAACACCAGGGGGCCCCCTTGCTCTCAAAGATGATTTAATTTTAATTTAGTTTTTTAATTTGGCCAGCGGTTAATGCGGTGCGCTGTCGCCCTTTCTATGTAAAAATCAGTCAAATCATGTAACGTGGAATGTCGTACAGTCTTGCTCGAGACTAAAAAAACGAGTTGAAAGCGTACCGAGCCACGGAAGAGACACTGTTTCTCAAGCGCTTTCCGCGAGCGCGATTCGAGACGGAGTGAAACACGGACAAATGCGTTTCATTCATTCATTCATAACCACTCATACCCCACTCAACATTTGATTGTGTTTAATGTTTTGTTCAATATTGAACTTAAAAATTAACAAATAGTCAAAATGAATGGTGTATATGTAAAAACTTTTGTATTTAAATTTATTTTTCTTGGTTGGCTGCATTTCCTCCTCCTATCATTTCAGTTCAACTTCCTGTGGGCGTGTCCAATTCAGTTCACACTCATGAATTAAAAAGAAGCCAGTTGTTAAATTCTAATGAAAAGACATACTGTATATTTGAAGTTTAAATGTATTTCAAATAAGATCTTAAACTTGTTAGAGAAATCAGCATCACTGCAGTAAGATCCTGCAGATGAGGCTACTGTATGTCAGAGGCAGTGCTGTGATCTAATCTTGCATTCAAGTCACAGATAAGCGTGGGATGTATTTGATTGTTTAGTTGCTCAGTAAAGTGAAAGAGAATATGAATGAAACACATTTACACACACTAAGCATTTTTGTTCCTGCTACAGAATGGCTTCACACCACTCTACATGGCTGCCCAGGAAAACCACCTGGATGTCGTCAAATTCCTCCTGGATAATGGATCCAGTCAGAGCATTGCCACAGAGGTGAGCATAACCTTCTCTTCCTCTCCATCCATCACTTACCTCACTGCAATTCCCAGCAGCCCTCTGAAACAACGTATTTCTAGCAATGATACACAGTGACCTTGTTGTCCTTTTCAAGGCAGCATGCAAGCACTAGTTGCGCAGTGAGGGTATTGAATGCCTGGCTTGGAGTGTGTGTGGTGTGTGTGTGGGTGCATGACAGAGCAGGGTGCCAGACGTCACTGTCCTTGAGAATGTACCAGGCCCTCGTGCCACTCAGACAGTGATTATGCACCAGAGAACACATCAGTGTTTGAAGAGCTGTTTGCATGTTAATGATCCATGTTGGTGAGAATGAAGGTCTGTTTGAAATTCAGACTTAATGGGGTCATATGATGTTGCTAAAAAGAACATTATTTTGTGTATTTGGTGTAATGAAATGTGTTTATGCGGTTTAAGGTTCAAAAAACACATTATTACTATGTGTACATTAGTACACATACTGTACATTATTGTTTCTCCTCAATGCCCTGCCTTTCTGAAACGCGTCGATTTTTACAAAGCTCATCGGGCTGAAAAGCGAGGTGTGCTGTGATTGGCCAGCTATCCAGTGCATTGTGATTAGCCGAATACCTCAAGCGTGTGACGGAAATGTTACGCCCCTACCATATTGTGATGCCCTGTCCGGCCGGAGCGACGAGACAAAAACATTAAAACCCATTATAAACGAGGCATTTGTTGCATCCAGTGGCGACATAATTACGGATTATATATTATATTATATATATATATAATTACGGGCTTGCGGCAACCACAGGTGACGACCCCGGGCTGGACTCCGCTTCGTCCACGGTGAAAGCAGATCCGGCGATCCACAGCGCGAAGTTGATGTATTTCCTCAGCAACCAGCACGGATCAGCTCTAGGCATGACGAAGCGGATATCGTCCTCTTTTGGAAGGCCAAACAAAGTAGTTTCGCTTTCACAACAAAACACACAGCGTCTTCACGACATGGCGGCAGCAACAATACTACAGTGAGAATAAAAGTTACACCTTCTTTCTTTGCGTGAACATTTGGGCGGCGTTATGCAAATCTTCCCACATTGTGACGTAGACATGTGGGGGCGTGTTCGAACGAGCCGTTTTAGGTAGGCATGGTTGACTCTTTAACTTTTATAAAGAATATCTCTTTGGATTTGAGACTTTAGTCTTTGCAACTTTACAGATCTTCTTTATGCACCAAGAGCTTGTAACACTCCAAAGAGAAAGGAAAAATTGAAATCGCATCATATGACCCCTTTAAACCGTAAAAAGATTACATGCATTACAGCATTTTGATGTCAAGCTGTTCTCTGAGAATTATCAAAGATTTTTGCTCTTATTAAACATTCTGTCATTAACTGGAAGTGTGCTGACACAGTCATATATTAATATATTTTGTGTTTTTCTCAAGATATGATTGATATTTTATATTCTTGTATAAAGATTATTTTTATTTAGAAAATTTGAATGTTGCCACCACAGATGGAGAGCCCAGAGTTCTGTAGTTTACCTTTAAGATTTACTTCTCTTTGGACTACTCAAGGATTCTTGCGTTGTGTGCTTGTAGGATGGTTTTACTCCACTGGCCGTAGCTCTCCAGCAGGGTCATGATCAGGTGGTGTCTCTGCTCCTGGAGAACGACACCAAGGGGAAGGTGCGGCTACCTGCCCTGCACATCGCCGCCCGTAAGGACGACACCAAAGCAGCGGCGCTGCTCCTGCAGAACGACCACAATGCAGATGTCGAATCCAAGGTACCTCCATCAATATACAGTCAAGGCTTTCCATTAGTTTAGATCTAGAACTTGATGGTGCTTTCCATTCAAACACATCGGATGATTATCGTCTTTTGGAGTTAACACAATATACATCTAAACAGACATTGTGGTGGCTGTAATTCAGTGGTGCATGATGGGAGATGCTCATTGTAAATTTCCTTAAAACGTCATCTTCTATCACACGCCAGTTTAAGCAAATGCTAGTAGATGCACCATCCAGTTAAGCCCTTGTGGTGTCGTGTGATGTGTGGTTTGTCGCTCTCCCTCACGATGTAGCCACCGTACAGCTTGATGCTCCCATTGTGACTTTGTGAACACTAATCAGACCATTCTTTCTCCTCCCGCTCTGGTGGTCCTTCTAGATGATGGTGAATAGAACGACAGAGGTATACATGTACAAATGTTACACACCTCACAAAGCGCCCCCACATCACACTGCTGCTGTGGCTGCTGCCCCATCCCCTCCTGCCCCTGCTCATTGCTTTTTTGTCTCAGTAAATTGGCGCTTCTATTACTAACGGGCAGCGGAAAACTAGCATGGAGAGGAAACACTCTGGTTTAGCCGGGCGAGGTCTGCAGCTGAGAGAGTTTTTTGTTTTGTGTGTGTAATTTCTGTGCCACTAGTGGCACCAAATGGAATTGCAAGATCATGATTGTGTGTTTTCCGACATTTGCCATTGGTCGCACAGATAGTCCTGCTCAAGAAGTCAACCTACCAGTGGCCCGCTGGTTGTTTCTGTATATTAAACTGGAATAGTTTTGACCCAAATGTCTGTGCTGTTCCAACTGGCTTATGCTGGTTTGGTTCTGGTCCAGCTGATGGACCAATAAAGTCATGCTGTTACCTTACAGTACCTAATAAAACCGTTTGATCAAGTCTTAAGGTCCTTGCACACTGAGTCCGAAACTTTCGTATGCGTTTTTCCGTTTTTTTCGTATTCGTCATCCTTTCCTATCAAAATGCTTGCTACGGATGCGAAAACGCAGAAAATCGAACCTGGTCCGAATTTTTTTATGACGGCCGAAAGTTTTGGAGGCACAATGTGAGGTCGTATTTATTTTTCAACGTGCGAACATTTCGGACGAAAAATTCGGACTCAGTGTGCAGAGACCTTTAGTGGTTAGTGTAGCAAAGAAGCTTGCACACAAATATCCCAAAACACAACATATTCTGGCGATCAGAATAGTGTGCTGAGCCTTCACGTTAAAACCAGCTTGAATTTTCAGAATATGCTTTATACTTCAACTACTTTCAACTATAAATCTAAATGCCCTTTTAGACCAAAGCCCAGACATCTCTTACTGTCCTGAAGAACGTAGCATAGAATCAGACTTCTCAGCTGCAGAGCATTCGTCCCATCTCGTGCATGACATTCCCCTCCTAGCAGGTGTCAGCAGAAAGAGTTACTGACCTTCTCTTCTCTTCTACTTTCATCTCTTCATTTCTTTTCTCCTGTACTCTCTTCTTGTTTAATTTCTTTGTTCTCTTTACTTGTTATTTAATTTCCTTTGATTTCATTTTGTTGTTTCATCTCTCCTTCTTATCTGGATTGTCTAATCTTTTCTCTTCTCTTCTGTTTTTACACCTCTATTCTACTCATTCCGTCTCTTCTTATCTCTTGACATCATGCTTTATCTGTTTCATTTCTTCTTTTCTTTTCCTGTCTCATCTCCTCTCATTTAATACTTTTATCACTTTTTTCATTTTGTCTTTCTTGATTTGTCTCTTGTCTTTATTTGTTTTCTCTACTTGTTTTTTTCATACTATTTCTTCTCTTATTCCATCTTGTTTTGTTTTGTTTTGTTTTGTTTTGTTTCTTTTCTTTTCTGATTTTGTCTTGTCTCGTCTCATCTCTATTCTCATTTCTGTTAATTTCTTCTTGTTTCGTCTCTTCTTATTTAATATTGTTTCATCACTTCTCTCATTTTGAGACAAGAGAAAAGTCCAAAAAATTATTTCTTCTCTTCTCTTCTCTTCTCTTCTCTTCTCTTCTCTTCTCTTCTCTTCTCTTCTCTTCTCTTCTCTTCTCTTCTCTTCTCTTCTCTTCTCTTCTCTTCTCTTCTCTTCTCTTCTCTTCTCTTCTCTTCTCTTCTCTTCTCTTCTCTTCTCTTCTCTTCTCTTCTCTTCTCTTCTCTTCTCTTCTCTTCTCTTCCCTTCTCTTCTCTTCTCTTCTCTTCTCTTCTCTTCTCTTCTCTTCTCTTCTCTTCTCTTCTCTTCTCTTCACAGTCAGCATGGCTTCCAGATTTCTTCCAGCTCTCTTGCAACTTAACAGCTTTGATTTGCACTGCATGATATGTAACTTAAATACAGTATTAATCACTTACAAAACTGAGAATAATAGTATGATATTCATCTACAGCTACAGCTCAACTGCTCTCTCAAATTTACAGTGGCCTACTGACTATTTTAAAACTATTGTTTACTATACTGTATATGGCTCAATAACGTGCTGCAATTTGCTTTCAAATAATTAAAATCATATTTGTGATTATAGTTAGAGAAACTGATTTTTGATGTTTTAACAGCACATTGTTAAATGCAGTGCACTGTATGCATGTTTGCACACATAACATCATGGATTCACCTCCACTAAAGCTTTGTATGTAAATGTTAATTCAGATTTGGGCTGAAGGTTGCTGTTATAAAGGCTTTGTATATCTGAGGAAAGCACATCCTTTAAAATGGAAAACCCTCCCATGTATTGCAACCACAGCATGGTGTGTAAACAGAGAGATTAAAGTATTGGATTAAACATTAAAGATTAAAGTAAAGAAATTAAACCTAATGTTCAAACCAAAGTAAAAGAATTAATCAGCCAGATTGAGGGATCAAGTGAAGGATGCGCCTTCCCTCAGTGTTGTGTAGATCTGTGTAGATCTGTTTTACTGATTTACTGCACCACGCCTGGCCTGGGGTCGTCTTTTCATATGGATGAGGTCAGGTCAGGTGACTTGAGGTCAGGGCCTTCAGAGTTCTGTATGTGACATTTTGACCCCTGTGCTCTATTTCTCTCTGTCCCTCTCCAGAGTGGCTTCACCCCTCTCCACATTGCGGCTCATTACGGTAATATCAACGTAGCGACCCTGCTTCTGAACCGCGGGGCTGCCGTAGACTTCAAGGCGAGGGTAAGGACATGAACTCCAGCTGAAGGATTCCGTAAGAGTGGAGTGCAGAGTATTATGAACTACACTGGGGTCAGAACAGGGTCATTCTCTATTAGGGTTGCAAAAAGGTGGAAGATTTCCAGTAAATTTCGGAAACATTCCAAAAAGTTTGGAAACTTTCCAGGATTTTTTTGGAATATTCCAGGGATCTTTGGAAAGTTCCCGAAAATTTTGTGTTTCCGGAAATGTTGTGGAATATACTACATCCATCTGTGTCAAAGCATCCACTATCGTGTATTCAAATATTCAGTCCCACACAGTTTTAGCATAACATAAGTGACATAACATTGCTCCCACGATGCCTCACATCAGACTCAGTGGGGTCCACCATGTTTTATAAAACGCTAAGCAGTCTGTCATAGTAAATTAGAGATTTTGTAAGCTATCACTAGAGGGTGGTGTGGTCCAATACTACAGTGTCTACAGTATGACGCTGTGTGCTTCATTTGTGCCACTGCAGCTATGGACAGAATCCCTTATTTGTGCGACATTATTAAAAATCTCTAAGATGGAACACATATTGTCCACCAAAGATGCTTATATTCCATCAGCAACATATTGTCACACATGCAGACAAATTAAGAAACAATAAAAACCAGCCTATATTCAAAGTAAACAGATTTAGAGATACTATTATTGAATACTGTATTAATGTATGTATGGTTTTAGAGGATTGGCATAATTCAACCTCACACCATCAGTTTACTGTTTTTTTTTAATATACAGTAAATATACAGTAGTAAAATAAAACAATCTCTGTTGAAACATTAATGCATGCTTTTGATTGGTACAGATTACTGCAGATTTGTCTACAGATTACTACAGGTTTTCTACTCCTTGTGATTGCTGACTTCCTTTTCGATGAATAATAAACATTTACAATGAAAATTAAGTTTTCATTTCAGCAATTTTGTGTACATAATATTTGCTGCTATTAAATAATATTATTAAGCCATTGTGTTTTTTGATGTTTGTAGTAGCATTAGTTTAGTTTACATGGAGTACAATTACTGAAACTCTGAAAAACACACAATACATTTTTAACACAACAACAACCATAGAGTTTGTCCATTTTCCCTTAAAAGGACATTTTAACTGAAAAATTCTGTTTTCTGACTAATAAAACAGTGATTTAACAAAAATAAGTGATGTTTAATGGGAAAGTGCACAATTTTTCAATGAAATAATTATAGAAATTCCTCCTTTTAAAATAGCTTTTGCTATCGAAAATTCATTATTAGTTCATCAGATATGCAAAGAAAATGCCAATTCTAATACAGTCACACAACAACCAATATAGTATGTGTTTCCATGTAATCAACCTTGTTCTTTTGAACTTGATTATGTGTCTGACTATTAGTTTTGTCTTTTTATTGTGGCAGAATGACATCACACCTCTCCATGTGGCATCGAAAAGAGGAAATGCCAACATGGTCAGGCTGCTGCTGGAGAGAGGAGCCCGAATCGACGCCAAAACCAAGGTCAGTGCCGCATGCAGTCGAACCACACAGACCGTCTTTCTTTTCCAGCTCTATATTTAACTCATCAGAGGAAGTGAGCACATGGTTTTCCCCATTGCATTTATTTCACAACGGCATGTATAGATTCTATAGTCAAGAAAGACTTGGAAAGAAAAAAGCTGTAATTTATGAACAAATTACATATTAAAGGGGTCATATGATGCGATTTCAAGTTTTCCTTTCTCTTTGGAGTGTTACAAGCTCTTGGTGCATAAAGAAGATCTGTAAAGTTGCAAAGACTAAAGTCTCAAATCCAAAGAGATATTCTTTATAAAAGTTAAGAGTCAACCACACCTACCTAAAACGGCTCGTTCTAACACGCCCCCACATATCTACGTCACTATGTGGAAATATTAGCATAATGCCGCCCAAATGTGCACGCAAAGAAAGAAGGCGTGGTTTCAGGAACAGCAGTAGTGTTGATGCAGCCATGTCAGGGAGACACTGTGTATTTCAGTGCGAAAGCAAAAGCACTTTATTTGGCCTTCAGGAAGTAGATGCAATTAGGAATCATTGGTTAAGATTTATTTACAACAGAACAGCACAACCCAGATGTTTGAATTTGTGCAACGCATATTGTGGATGACAGTTTGAACAATGCACTGGGTCAGCTGGCCAATCAGAGAAGACTGTGCTTGTCTAAAAGGAGGGGGCTTTGTTGAAAACAACGCGTTTGAGAGAGGTGGGGCATAGAGGACCTACAATAATGTACAGTATTTGAAAAATAATGTGTTTTTTGAACATTAAAGCATGTCAACATATTCTGTTACACCAAATACACAAAATAATGATCTTTAAAATAGCATCATATGACCCCTTTAAGTTTCAGAGGAAACTAATTCAGTTGCTGTTCATTTGTGGCCATTTTCAGCTGCTTTCTTAGAAACACAAGATGAAAAGGGAATTTATTTGGAAGGGATAATTCAGGGATACATGCCGTTTGATTTGAATAAATGATAACAACCGCAGCCCTCAGGTTACATGTGTTTGGCACCACTGTTGAAGAGAAATTGCATACAGATGTTGCGCTCTTCTCTGTCTCCAGTAGAGGAATGCTGTCTTTCATTGTGTATTTGACATATTGGCACATGTCACATGGGAGGGATTGTAATGTTAATGATGGCTGATGATTGCAGAGTCTGGCAGTGTGTAATATATGTGTGCTTGTTTTCAAATCTCCAGGACGGTCTGACACCTTTACATTGTGGAGCAAGGAGTGGTCATGAGCAAGTAGTTGAGATGTTACTAGACCGTGGAGCACCCATCCTCTCTAAGACAAAGGTTAGATATGGTGTTCTGCACTTAAAGAAAACGCATATTCTGTCATCATTTACTCACTCTCATGTCTTTCCAAACCTCTTCTGTGGAACACAAAAGGAGATATTTTGAAGAATGTTCATGCTGCTCTTTTCGGTATATAAAGTAAACATGAAATGTGCGTACCAAACAGAATAAAATGCTGAAAGCAAAAATGAAATGGTTTTGTCTGTACACTTTTGTTATATGGAAAAGTGCAGATTGCACATTTTGCTATTACCTTATTTGTCGAGTCAGTTTTATTTATATAGCACTTTATACAATACAGTTTGTTTTAAAGCAGCTTTACCGTAATAAACAGGAAAATAGCAATGTTAATGTTGCAAAATTCCTAAATGAAGCAAAATTATTTTTTTTCCTCTACAGAAGACAATAGTGTTATTATTCAGCTCAATTTAGTTCAATGTTAATTCTATAAGCAGATCTACAGTCACTTCAGTGTTGATTCAGTTCTGTTCAATAACTATGTCAGTGTTACAAAGTTAGTGTTATTGTTCAGCTCAGTTCAGCTGAAGTTTTGTTCTTTTCCAATAGTGTCAGTGCAGTCAAATCTATAATAATATGGATAAAAAACAACCAGGAAAAAAGTCACTTTCCAAAACCTTCACCCTCTCTGGTGGAATGAACTGCCAATCTTGAACTGCTGAGAACATCACAAATTTCAAAAAGCAGCTGAAGACACACCACTTCTGCAAGCACTTAACCACCCCACACCCATAAACCAATGCACTTACTGTACACACTCACACAAACTGCTTTTATTACTCTTTTGTAAGTCGCTTTGGATCAAAGAGTCTGCTAAATGCATGAATGCAAATATTGCAAATTGTCTTTGAAACCTCGACTTTTAAACCAACTTTTTTTTGTGTTCTAGTAAGGGTTGTATGGGCTTGGAATGACATGATGGCAAGTGAATGACATCATTTTTGAATGAACTGCTCCTTTAAGTGTATGCAGATGTGACTATCATTTTTTCTTGTTTTTCCATTGCATCACTGAACACTTTCCTGGAATCCGAAAGCAAAGCAAAACATGGTCACAGACTTCTCGCCAAATTAGATAATATCCCAGCCGATTAGTGTCACAATGGAGCAATTGTTTTAGTACAAATAGTGACGTATAAATACTCTCTCGCTGTTCTTTTACCCCAGATGTCCTTTTTGAGGGGGGATTATGGCTCTATTATATTTTATAAGTTTACATTTGCTTCTCTGAATTCTTAGAAAGATTTTTTGATGCATCTGTGATTCCTACAAAATAGAGAATAGAGAAGTGAAAGTTCTTCAGTTATTTAATTTCAGCATAACCTAGATTGTTGCGTGTTTCAACAGAACGGTCTTTCACCGTTGCACATGGCCACGCAAGGAGATCATCTGAACTGCGTTCAGCTCTTGCTTCATCACAACGTGCCCGTGGACGACGTCACCAACGATTATCTGACAGCCCTGCACGTCGCTGCACACTGCGGACACTACAAAGTTGCCCAGGTCCTTGTGGACAAGAAGGCCAATCCTAATGCCAAAGCACTGGTGAGTCTTGAGTTGACAGGTATAATGTTTCTGGATCAGTTTCTTTTTTGATCCTGTCTAACTAACAATATTCCCTAATCATAGTCTCCCATAGCCAGACCTTTTGACTATAGGCATAAGGCTGGGTGCACTTTACAACATTTAGGCCAAGAGTAAATTCTGTCATTTACTCATCCTCAATTTGTTCCAAACCTGTATGAGTTTCTTAAAGCTGTTGTTGAGCATTTTAAAGACGATTGGTAACCAAACAGTTGATGGTAGCCTTTGACTTCCATAGTATGGAAAAATACTATGGAAGTCAATGGCTACCGTCAGCCAACATTCTTATTTTGTGTTCAGCAGAAAAAAGAAACTCGTACAGATTTGGAAAAAGTGGAGGGTGATTAAATGATGACAGAATTTTCATTTTTGGGTGAATTATCCCTTTTAATAGGGATAAAAGACCACCTAACTGACTGATGTAAAGTGAGCAGTGTTTTTTTTGTTTAGTGACTAGTTTATCTTAAATTCAATATTTCACAGTAATAGACTGGCATGGGGGAAAAAAACAATACACTGAAAAAAGATTGATGTAAAAACAATTTTCACTTAGAAATTTCACAAACAATTTCAAAGAAACAGCAAGTAACACATTGAGTTAAACATAAGATTTTAAAGTAGGAGACCTGAAATACAACAGTATTTTCTTGTAAAACATACCCCAATAATACAATAATGTATTTTTAGTTCTTATGTTTTTTTACAACTTCATTTTTTACAGAATACAATCAAACAATCAGATGTTATTGTAGTTCAAACCCAAACTCTGATTAGCTGAGAGAAATGTTGTGTTGATTCAGGAAAACTTTCTACTTAAATGTGGTCACTGAGGTAAAAAACAGAGCTTACTAGTCTCGTAAAATCCCAGAATTCCTTTTTTTTCCCCCTTTGGCTTTAGGTAAAAAACAGAGCTTACTAGTCTCGTAAAATCCCAGAATTCCTTTTTTTTCCCCCTTTTTGCTTCCACCTTAGATGGTACCCTCCAAATTTTATATGTGAGCACTTGGAGGGAAGGTTATGACATGTAACATGTTTTGTTTCTGCACAGCACCATGGCGATCTGTAAAAAGCCTCTTTTGGCAAAGAGCACAGTGAATACTGTCATGCTCTGAAGTAATGGTTACAGAACGGGCGTGTCTCTGCAGTTTATGAGGAAAAAAGGAAGAAAGAACGAAAACTGTAGAAAGACAAGTCTGCCAAGCATTGAGCAGCAGAAGCCACGTGTTTCATTCGTCTGGAAACAAAGCTTTGTTAACTCTTCAGTCATCTGGTTACGGGCAGAAAGCAACCAGATTTTCATTAGTAAGCTGGAGTAAAAGCCACCAGAATCTCTTTTTCTCTCCCTGTAGAATGGTTTTACACCACTTCACATCGCTTGCAAGAAGAACAGGATTAAAGTGATGGAGCTGCTGCTGAAACACGGAGCATCCATTCAGGCTGTGACTGAGGTGAGAGAGCAAGATTTTTTTTTTTCTGAATATCTACTGTACATTTGCAGAGCTTGCTTTACCATGCACTTTGATCTCAACAGCTTAATAACTCTGAATGGAAGAAACTTTGCTTATGTTTTTGTAAGAAATGTTGGTTGTGTGTGTGAAAACCAGATGTAGCAACCATTATAAATGGAGGGACATGTCTCCCCCACTTTTTAGCACATAATTATTTATTTAGGGTTTTATTTGGCTTGCATATTATTTAAAGAACTATGACTTTAAGACCAGCCGGCTGCATTTTCAGAACAAGCAAGCTTTGGCCCATTTACCTGCATTTTACCAATCAGCTAAATATGAATGTTATGGCACCTAAATAATATTCATGAGCAAAGTTGATAAGGTTTATAAAGTGTCCCTCCTACTTTTCCAGTTGCTCCTCTGCCCCAGATGGAAATATTGTGCTGTTAAATGAGATTACAAAGCCTGTTTTTGTCTCAAAAAATTTTTTTTGCAACGTTATAGCTCACAATTGTCACTATAGTGTGGCTGATATCTGCCAACTGTAACTTTATATTATGTAATTGAATTTATGAATTTATGTTCGACAGTCAGTTTATATCTTGCAATGTGACTTTATATATCAAAACTGCTACTTAGTTTCTTATAATTTCAACTTTAAACTCACAATGTGACTTTATATCTGGCATTGTGGCTTTTAAATCTTGCAGTTGTTTCTGGTCATTGTGACTATTTCTTGAAATTGCAACTTTATTTACAGTATCTCACAACTGCAACTTTATTTCTCAGCTTAGTTTATCTTTAATCTGAGGCAGAGATGTGTTTTCATACATTGCAATGAAGCATTTCACAATAGAGTTAGACGTTTCAATCAGATATGCTGTTGTTTTGAACAACAACATGTGCGTTTTGAAATGAGATAATATTTGCTTTAGCATGCAGTTCCCAGTGCTTCAAAGCTGCATATTTCTGTGTCTCTGGCAGTCTGGACTCACGCCGATTCATGTGGCCGCTTTTATGGGCCATGAAAACATTGTGACTCAGTTGACAAATCACGGAGCGTCTCCTAACACGATGAATGTGGTGAGTACAGCCGTCCCCAAGCCCACCAGCGCCAAACAAACCATTTCCTTTTGATAATGAAAAACAAAGTAAAACAAAACATTTTAGCGAAGCCCCAGAGTCCAGCCATGTTCCTCTCTGGAACGTGTCATTGCTTGCCACATTGGTTTGGTCTCCCGTTTCATAAAGCCTTTTAGGGTAATAACAGTCTCCGTCCATGTGCTTAAACATACGTCTGACCGCAGGTTGGAGCTCCTTAGTCTACTGTAATTAGAGTACAGTCAGACTGTAATCATGCTCGACTGTTCCCCATCAGACAGACGGTGGGCCAACAGCGAGCCACTGTTACCGTAGAAACATGCTTTAAGCTTTGTTGGGGTGCAGCCCACCGAGAGTGTCAAAACAAAGAAAGCAAGACGGTTTGGGCAGAGGGGCCGAGACTGATGAAAGAGCTGTGCACACACAAAGGCTTACTGTCCAAACACAGTAGTACCTTTTTTCCAGAAGCTTCCTCTGTGTGTGTTTTAGAGGGGAGAGACGGCACTTCATATGGCTGCCAGGGCAGGACAGGCAAACGTGGTGAAATTCCTGGTGGCGAATGGAGCAGATGTGGACGCTAAAGCCAAGGTGAGTGAGAGATATGAATCTAAGTATGTGCTGCTTTATTGGTGTTTGCAAAGAGAGCGATTTGAATGAAGCCATAACCCTTCGTGTTAAAGGGCAACTATTATGAAACATTCACTTTTACGTGTTGTTTGAATATAAATGTGTGTACACAGCCACCTTGTAATGATAAAAATCCAGCCACTCTGTTTTTTTTTTTAATCTTCATAAATCATACGCAGTGTCTCAGAACAAGCTGTTCGCAGAGTCCGTAAAACGTGACGCCACATTTTACAAGCCCCGCCCACGAATGTTGACGGACACTGCCGTATTAGCAGAGACCCCGCCCTGAGTGAGCCGCACAAAATCCGCCATGTTTATCTTCACGCTCATTTAAAAGCAACATTCAAATGAGAAATGTCTTCTTATTGGAGCTACAGAAATTATTCATTCAAGAGCAGTGAGTGATTTTCTGTTTTTATTTTATTGTTTGGGTCATATTGTCAGTGTAGATAGCAGTATAGGTACTGTATATTACACTGCTGTCACTTAGGGTGTTTTCACATATAGTTCATTTTAAAAGAACCAAACCCAGTTCACTTAAAGGGAACCAGCCGAAAGTGACCTCAGTCCTTTTGGTGTTCACAATCTAGTGGACTCAAAAGAGAACCCAGTTTTTTTTTGGTCCTCTTCAGCAATGAAGAGATCTCAGACCCTTTCTTGTTCACACCACAACTTTATAAGAACTCAGACCCCAGCTTTCTGTGCAGCAGTGGATTTTGGGTATGCAAGATGGCGTCTTCACATGTTGTCATCACATGGATGTGGCACATTTTGAAGCAAATGACAAACATTTCCTTCATTTTTTGGGCAAACAAAAGAAACACTTTTATGTTTTTATGGGTTGAGGAGAGTTGGCGTTTAATGTAATCATCTTTCCAAATTTCAATAAGTGCACAACTCTCCTCCTGGGACCACACAACCCCACGACCTGCCATGGTGAAAAGATTTTTCTGTTGTTACAGCAGTGACGTAACATGGTTGCAGGTATGGCAAGCCTCCAGGTACACATGTCGAAACGCAAAGCGGACCGGGATCTCATTGCTTTCGCATATCACGAAGATATCGAACTACAAACGGACCCACAAACGAACCGTACTCAGACCACCTCCGGAGGTGGTCTGAGTACGGTTCGCTTTTGGGTCCTTTTAGGGGGGTCTGAGATGACATGATTTGTTCACATATACACGCTGAAC